TGCACATATTACGTGTGTGTTCTTAGGCAAAATTTTCTGTAATAAATGATATGAATATAGTTTCAAATAATAAGAATTCCTGTTTATGATTTCTTTGCAGTCTGGTTTATCTTTAAGGTTTTTTGGGGGGGCCGGTGGCTCAGATGGTTAAACATCTGCCTTTGGCTCAGGTCATGATTTCTGGGTCCTGGGATCGAGCCCCACGTTGAGCTCCCTGCTCAGGGAGGAGTCTGCTTCTCCTTGTCCCTCTGCCTCTCCCCTCTGCCTGTGCTGTCTCTTTCTCTCTCTCAAATGGGTAAATAAAATCATTTTTTAAAAAAGTGTTTTCTTATCAAAAGTAAGAAAACTTATCAAAAGTTTTGTCATTTTTAATTCTTTCTGGTAGGGTTACTTAATGTCTTTTGTCACTTTTTTTTAAAAAAGATTTTTATTTAATTATTTATTTGGGAGAAAGCATGAGAGAGAATGAACAGGGGGAAGGGCAGAGGAAGAAGCAGAGAGCCCTTCGTGGGCCTCAATCCTAGGATCCCGGGACCATGACCTGAGCAAAAGGCAGGCACTGAACCTACTGAGCCATCCAGGTACCCTTTTGCCACTTTTTAATTGTTGTTTTTTATATACAGTCTGATAAAGATATGATTTTTCGTCTGTGTATTTGTTTGTAAAAGTTATTATCTGTTTTCAGAAAGTGATATATAACTTCATTATTATGATTAGTTGGAGATTAATCTAAAATTTAAAAAATAGATCTTTATGCTTTTAAAATTTTGCTTTAGGTTATGACTTAATATACAATAAGATTTTATTACACAATTTAAGAGAAAATTGTTTATTTTTTATTATATATTTTTTAAAAGATTATTTATTTATTTATTCATGAGAGAGAGAGAGAGAGAGAGAGAGGCAGAGACACAGGCAGAGGGAGAAGCAGGGAGCCGGATGCAGGACTTGATCCTGGGACTCCAGGAGTGCTCCCTGGGCCGAAGGCAGGTGCTAAACCACTGAGCCGCTCAGGGATCCCCAAGAAAATTGTTTAAATCAAATTCACTGTATGATCCAAAATTACACAGTTCATGGATTATAGAATTTTAATCTATGTTATTACCATAGAGTTGTAATCTATGTGGAATAATTTACACTATTTTGATTTAGCACCTCTTCATTAGAGGAGCTTTGCAGCCTTATTTTCTTGAAATGTAGCTACATTTTATAATATTTCCAATATTTTAAGTTCTCCTGAGTTCCCTTATCATTACGTCATTTTTTTCCCTTACAGTATATGAATTTGGTTAAGAGTATTCAGAATGGGGGGAATCCCTGGGTGGCGCAGTGGTTTGGCGCCTGCCTTTGGCCCAGGGCGCGATCCTGGGGACCCGGGATCGAATCCCACATCGGGCTCCCGGTGCATGGAGCCTGCTTCTCCCTCTGCCTATGTCTCTGCCTCTCTTTCTCTCTGTGACTATCATAAATAAAACAAACAAACAAAAAAAAGAGTATTCAGAATGTTTTTATTGTCCTGTTGTTGATCTTAATGATTTCCAGAATAAATTGATTTTTAAGAGTGTTAATCATACTACTTTACATAACATGTATTTTAACTGTATCAATTAAAATAATTTCCATGTAGATGTGTAAATGTAATTTTTTTTTTCTTTTTTAGATTTTTAAATTTACTTATTCATGAGAGACACAGAGAGGCAGAGACATAGGCAGAGTCAGAAGCAGGTTCCCTGTGGGGAGTCCAATGCGGGACTTGATCCTGAGACTCAAGGATCATGACTTGAGCCTAAGGCAGACATTCAACCACTGAGCCACCCAGGTGTCCCTGTGTATATGTATTTCTGAGCAGGAGATTTGATAGCAAAAGTTTAGTAAGCAAGCTAATTAAGAATAATGGAAATGTATTGGGCTTCGAGGTAGGTGGGCAGTGCAGGTCAGCTGGTTGCTTATGGCATGTGTTATTTCCCCATGTGCTTCATATGTCATATGCCATTGTCTGGGCTTCTTACACTGTTGCCTCCTTTAAACGTTCGCAGCAAAGCCATTTGTAAAGCTGTGTGTGGCAGTTGTGGCGTGTGGCGCGGTGGGTGGAAGGGCGCGCGTGGGTGAGTGGGGTGGGGCGGGAAGGCAGGAAAAAGTGGTGAGGGCGGGGGGAGGTTTGGAATATGTGGTGGGTGGGAGATGAGGTGTTGGGGAGAGGGCGAGGTGGGTAGGTGGGATAGGTGATGTTGTGAGGAGTGGGAATGAATATGAGGGGATTTGGGATGGTGGAAGGGAAGGAAGGAGGAAGGACAGTAAGGAAGGAAGGCAGACAGCTGACCACGGGAAGGAGAGAGAGGGAGAGAGAGAGGGAGGGATGGAGGGAGGGAGGGAGGGAGGGAGGGAGGGAGGGAGGTAGGTCGGGAGGTCTGAGTTAATGATTAGTAGTCTATTTTATATATATGCACCACATCTTCTTTATCCATTCACCTGTTGAGGCACATCTAGGCTTTTTCCATAGTTGGGCTATTGTGAACATTGCTGCTATAGATATTGGGTTGCAGATGCTTCTTTGGATCACTACATTTATATATTTGGGGTAAATACCTAGTAGTGCAATTGCTGGGTCATAGGATAGCTCTATTTTCAACTTTTTGAGGAACCTCCATACTATTTTTCAGAGTGGCTGCACCAGCTTGCTTTCCCACCAGCAGTGTAAGAGGGTTCCCCTTTCTCCACATCCTCCCCAACATCTGCCATTTCCTAACTTATTAATTTTAGACATTCTGATCAGTGTGCGGTGGTATCTCATTGTGGTTTTGATTTATAGTTCTCTGATGCTGAGTGATATGTTGAGCATGTTTTCATGTGTCTGTTGGTCATTTGTATGTCTTCTTTGGAGAAATGTCTGTTCATGTCTTCTGCCCATTTCTTTTTTTTCTTTTTTTTTCCTTCTGCCCATTTCTTGATTGGATTATTTATTCTCTGGGTGTTGGGTTTGATAAGTCCTTTATAGATTTTGGATACCAGCCCCTTATCTAATGTGTCATTTGCAAACATCTTTTCCTATTCTGTAGGTTGCCTTTTTTGGTTTTATTGACTGTTTCCTTGGCTGTACAAAAAGCTTTTTATCTTGATGACGTTCCAATAATTCATTTTTACCTTTGTTTCCTTTGCCTTTGGAGATGTGTCTAGCAAGAAGTTGCTGTGGCCGAGGTCAAAGGGGTTGCTGCCTCTGTTCTCTTTTAGGAATTTGATAGATTCCTGTCTCACATTTAGGTCTTTCATCAATTTTGAGTCCATTTTTGTGCATGGTATGAGGAAATGGTTCAGTTCATTCTTCTGCATGTAGCTGTCCAGTTTTCCCAATACCATTTGTTGAGGAGACTATCTTTTTTCCATTGGGTATTCTTTCCTGTTTTGTCAGATTAGTCACCATAGAGTTGAGGGCCCATTTCTGGGTTCTCTGTTCTGTCCCATTGTTCTATGTATTTTTTTTTGTGCCAGTACCATACTGTTTTGATGATTACAGCTTTGTAATAGAGCTTAAAGTCCAGAATTGTGATGCCACCAGTTTTAGTTTTCTTTTTAAACTATCCTTTGGCTATTTGGGTTCTTTTCTGGTTCCATACAAATTTTAGGATTTATTTGTTACAACTCTGAATTAAGTTGATGGTATTTTCATAGGGATTGCATTGAATGTACAGATTTGAGCAAAGTATTTAAAATAATAAAGAATTTTTGGAAATAACTGGCATTTAAAAAAATACATGTTCATAAAGCAAAAAGGCCTTTTGGATTGTTATCTTTAAATTATGCTATTAGTAGATAGATTTTCTATAAAGCTGTGTACACCTTAGCTGTTGAAGGCATGATGGTTTGCATTAGGTATTAGTGTTTATGTTGTGTCAGAATTACGATGGTAGTTATACTTCATTTAAAAAAGAAACAACTTGGGGTACCTCCGTGGCTCAGTTGGTTAAGCAGCTGCCTTTGTCTCAGGTCCTGATCCCAGGGTCCTGGGATTGCTCTCCCTCTGCCCTTCCCCTCCTGCTCATGGTTGCTTCTTTGCTCTTTCTCAAATAAATAAAAAATTTAAAAGAAATAAAGAAGAACTTAATACTGTATATTCTGTCAGTTTTGAAACCTGAGTTCATGGTGGGTTTTGGTTTTGTTTTGTTGGAGTTATCGGCATTGGTGGGAGTTTATGTGGTGTTTTGGGTTTTGGAGGTTTTGGGTTATTTGGTATGTTGGGATGGATGGTGGTTGTTTGGTATGGGGGGTGTGGTTTGGGTTTTTTTTGTGGGGTGGGGGTTGGTTGGGGATGGGGATTGCGGGATGCTGGTGGGGTGTGTTTGGTTTAGGTGTGGGGGGGAACTGGTGTGGGAGGTAGGGTTGTGGGAGGGTGGTTATAGTGGGTGTAGGCGAGGGTTGGAGGGGTTGGTGTGGTATGGTAGTTTAGTTGTTATTGTGGGTTATGTGATCGTGTTTGATGGGAGTGGGTTTAGGTTGGCGCGGGGGGTTTTGGTGTGTCGGGTTGTTTATGATGGGCGGGTTATGGGTGTGTTGGATTGGAGTTCTTTGTGTGTCGGGATGCATGGGTAGATTAGGTGTTGGGGGCGGTGGCTGGAGGTTTTGGTGATGGTTGTTGCTGCAGTCCAGTGGGTGGGCGTTGTGGAGGGGTTGGGGGGGGGAAGCGGTGTGTATCGTAGTGCGTAGGGGTATGATGGGTGGTGGGGTGGAGGGGGTAGGTGGGAAGGGAGCGGGTATGGTGTGAAGTGGTGCGGCTCATGTACTGTTGGGCAGAAGGGGGGGTTATCGTTGGGTTGGCGGCATTTTTTTTGAGTGCTTGTTCAGTTTTTTGGGGGTGTGTTTGGTGGGGGGCGGACAAGCAGGCGCGGGATGGCGTTTCTTTTTGTTTTATAAGACGATATTGTTAAGTAGCTCATTTGTGTAAGATTTGTCTGCCTCTCTTTTCTCATTGCATGGATCATTTTTTAACTTAAAGTCTTGCACTGCAGGTCATTAAGCACTTCCACATGGAGGTTGGCACAGGACCAAGCTCGAGACACGCAATTAGCAGAAACTGCTTGTTTGGTTTAATGTTGGTTAGTTTTTGCTTTGTGACTCTGCTTGGTTGCTGCAATGAAGGTTTGGGGTGATTCTTGATGAGGGTTAAGAGGGTGTTCTGGGTAGTTCGGGATATTTGTGGGGTTGGGGTTGTGAGTGTAGGGTGTGTTTGGGGTTGTGGTTTGGTGGTGGTATTTTTGTGGGGGGTTTGGGGGCGGGTTGATGGTGTGTATGTGTGGTTGGATGTGATGTGTGGTGTGGTTTGGGGGTTTTTGGGAGGACTGGGGGGGGGGGGGGGTGTTGGTGATTGGCTATTATGGGTCTTTGGTTGGTTGTGGTTGGGTTATTGGTTGTGTTTCGGGTTGGGTTGGGGGGGGGGGGGTTGGGGTATCGGGTATCGAAGGGGGTGTTTTGTGTGTTTTAAAATGGGGGTGGGTTTACTCGTAGGTGTTGGGGTGGTTTTGGGCTTTTAAAATTTGGTTTGGGGGGGGGGGTGGGGTGGGTTTTTGTGGGGGTTATCTCATTAATATGGTATGGTTGGTAGTTTGGTGGCTTGTGTGATGTGTTATTGCTAATTAGGTTGTTGTCTCTGTTATATCAGGTGCAAGTTTGTTGGATGGTGTAGGGATATGTTTTTGGGGGAGGTGTGTGGGATTTATGTTTGTGGATTATTTGTGTGGTTTGCGGTTTGGGGTATTTTTTATGGTATTTTTTATTAGGCTTAGTCTTGGTTATTGGCTGTTAGTGGGTTATCTAGGAGGGGATGGGGGTGAGGGGGGTAATGGTGCATTGGGGTGTGGGGCTGGCGGAGAAGGGAGGAATGGGGTATGGGAGGGGTGATAGCTGGGAGAGACGTTTGAATATGGGTTTTGTTGTGTGATATAGGTTTGAGAGTTTATGATGATTGTACGAAGTTTGTGTGTTTATGGGTATTGTATTGAGTGTTGGGGTTTATGTGTAGTCATTGGGAGTAGTTGTTGGGTAATACTCCGTTGCTTAGGAGTTAGGCAGGCGTTTGTGGTTTATGGGTAGATAGATAAGTGTTAGTGCATCTTGCGTGTATGGACTATATGAATTGGCGTGGGACAATCATTAAGGGAAGGGGTTTTAGTGATGCTGTTTGTTTTAATTTTGGTGAGGTATGGATTCTTTATTTTCCTTTTTTATTTTTTTTTTTTTTTTTTTTTTTTAATTCATTTTCCAAAGGATAAACAGAATAGTCTTTAAATGCTAGTTTTGTCACTTCTTGTGTAAGATCCATTGGTTTTCTTACTGACCTAAAAGTAAGCATTAAAATCCTCACATGGGAAAAAAAATCCTAATATGGTTTTTGAGGTCTTGCATGATTTAAGTCTTGCCTTCCTCTCTAAGTTTACCCTGTACCACTGTGTTTTATACACTCTGCTCCAGCCACACCAGTCCTGGAACTTGCTGTTCCTTTCCCTCGTTCAGGGCATTCACATTCCAGTTCTCTCTGCCTAGATGCTTTTCACTAATCCCTTAGCTCTTATCCAGGGACGTTCTACTTCTTCAAATAATAATCAAACATCACTTGCTTAGTCAAGTATAAAGGAAGTGAGACATGTATGTGTGTAAGAGGAGGATGATTTACATATGACGTGTTCATTAATTATTGAGGGTACTATCTTAATTTTTCCAATGACCATCTTTTTTTTTTTTTTTTTAAGATTTTTATTTATTTACTCATAAGAGAGACAGAGAGAGGCAGAGACATAGGCAGAGTGAGAAGCGGGCTCCCTGGGATCATGCCCTGAGCTTGAAGGCAGATGCTCAACCACTGAACCACCCAGACATCCCTTCAGTAACCATCTTTTAAACCCCTTATCTAATATTGTGGGGTTTACTCTTTATAAGATTTTCAAATTTTATAGAGTTTATTAGTAATGCTTCTAAGTTCTCTCCTTTCTGGTTTGAAGAATAATAAGTGAGGTAGCAATCTATTCCTCTAAACAAGATGCTGTGAATCATATCAGAGAGGTATACAGTCTACTTTGAGTTTTTTATCTCATTAAATCAAATCAGTTGCATGCTTCCAACAAATTTTGTTGCCCTGTATAAATTTTCCCAGCTTTGTTATTTCTTTTTTTGAAGTGTATTAGTTAACATGTCTATTCCAGCTGAAATCAGTTCAAGTCTTACTTATAAATTATTCATAGTTGAAATAATATTTAAACAGATAACTGAATCCCATAGGTAATTTTCAGACATGAATTTTAGCCATTCACTTAAGATTTTTCATTAAAAATTTTTTAAAAAATATTTTATTTATTCTTTTGTGAGAGACACACAAAGAAAGGCAGAGACATAGGCAGAGGGAGAAGCAGGCTCCCTCCGGGGAGCTGGATGTGGGACTCGATCCAAGGACTCTGGGATCACGTCCTGATCTGAATGAAGGTAGACTCTCAACAACTGAGCCATCCAGGCATCCCTCATTTAGATTTATATTAAAATACAAGTATTAAATAATCAAATAGATAACATGTTGATAGGGAGTTTCAGGTCTTGTTTCCATACACTACTGGATGAAAGGTTCAGTTGATAGTATAATGGCAAGTGGCCAAAGAGTACTTCTAGAAATATTGAACAGTTGGACTTGATTATATTTGCATTTCGAACAAAAATTATTCTAAAAATGTATGGTAGTCTTCCCCCAGTCCACAGGGAATATGTTCCAAGACTCCCCAGGGGATGCCTAAAGCCATGGATAGTATAAACCCTATATATACTATGTTTTATCTATGCATACATACCTATGATAAAGTTTAATTTACAAATTAAGCACAGTAAGAGATTAACAACACTGATAAAATAGAACAATTGTAACTATACTCTAATAAAATTTATGTGAATGTGGTCTCTCTTCAAAATGCCTTACTAGATTGTGCTTAACCCTTCTTGTGATGCTGTGAGATGATAAAACGGAAGTGAGGTGAATGATGTAGGCATTGTGATGTAATGTTAGGTTACTACTGACCTCCAGACAAATATGTTAGAAAGACAATCATTAGCTTCCTTACTGTGGTTGACTGTGGGTAACTGAAACTACAGAAAGAGAAACCATGGATGAGGTGCTACAAGAGTGTGGGATCTACTGTATATCAACATTAATGATAAAAATATTTTTTTAATTTTTTTTTTTATTTACTTATGATAGTCATACAGAGAGAGAGAGAGAGAGACAGAGACATAGGCAGAGGGAGAAGCAGGCTCCATGCACCGGGAGCCTGACGTGGGATTCGATCCCGGGTCTCCAGGATCGCGCCCTGGGCCAAAGGCAGGCGCTAAACCGCTGCACCACCCAGGGATCCCTACAAATGTTTTTAATAGCTTTATTCATCATTCCAGTAACTGGAAGTACCACAACTTATACTTCAGTACACCTATATAATAGACTTTTACTCACCAATTAGTAACAAATCTGGATAAATCTCCAGTGCATTATGTTAAGTAAAAGAAGCCAGACTCACAGGCTACTATACTATGTGATTCCATTTATTTGACATTTTAGAACAGGCAAAACTCTAGAGGCAGAAAATTGATCACTGTTTGTCAAGACTGGATGTGGAAGCAGAGTATACTAAAAAGGTCATTAAGAAATTTGGGTGGGGGTAATGTAACTGTTCTATATCGGGATTATGGTGTTGATTCTTTCTTCAAAATCTTTTATTTGTGTTCATTTGTTTAAAACAAAGAAGTGTAAACTTTAAAGGATAGATTTTTTTGTTTATAAATTACATCTCAGTTTTTTAAAAGGGGTAAAGATTGTTTCCTAATTTGGTGATTATCTGCTTTTTTATAACTAATATCCATTGGTTCAAGGTCTGCCTTACTATATAGGACATGCCATTTTCTATGTGACAGCCTCCTGTGTATTTGAGAACAGCTCTTTGGTCATCCTAACTCTGTGGTTCTCAAAGGGTGATCTGAGCAGGGTGGAGGTGGGGATTGGCCTAAGATCCTCATAAGAGTCCACAGATCAGACTTCTAAAAATTATACAAGGATGTGTTTACATTGACATTTAAGGTACAAAAGCAGCTGTAGTACATCTGTACTACTAGTTATTTTGTATTTCACTTTCTTGCATTTGAGATTTAAAAAAACTCCAGTTTCACTTAATGTCCTTGATAAATCAGCAAAAATTATTAGTTGAAAAAATTTCAATGCTGCATAAACATCTTTTTATGTTCCATGTAAAGAAACAGAAGTCACACCCATAAAACACTCTTGCTAAAGTACCACAATTGTCTCAAGGCAAAGCATCTGTATGGTTGAGTTGTTGCAAACAACCTAGCCACGTTTTTCATGAAACACCTTTTAAGTGATAAAACAGTAACAGATGACAGACAAATGATGGTTTTTCAGTTCTTACTACATGGCAGGCATTTTCTCAAAAACGAACTTCAAGGAAATGTTGCCAATGATAAACTGCAAACTTTCAAGTGAAAATTAGAATTTTTGTAGAACTTGATTTTACCACTGATCTGAAAGCTTGACATCTTTTCAATACTTAAAGACTGTTCTAATAGGATTGGTGGTAGTATTAACGATTTTAGTATATGTGCTACCAAAGTGAGCACAGTGGTCTTATTAACAAACATGATTTTTAACGAACATATCATGAAACGTGCTAACAATCGTAAGATCCTGCATACCTCTATGAAATAGTATTTTCCATAGACCAATATATGATATTTTAAAATCATGCATGGGTAAAAGTGTCATTCAAAGTGCAAGAAAGAGCAATGAATTTATATATATATATATTTATAGCAATGAATTTAATGTAACTGGGCATAAAAATAATTAAGACTGGGCAGCCCTGGTGGTGCAGCGGTTTGGCGCCGCCTGCAGCCTGGGTTGTGATCCTGGAGACTCGGGATCAAGTCCCACATCGGGCTCCCTGCATGAAGCCTGCTTCTCCCTCTCCCTGTGTCTCTGCCTCTCTCTCTGTGTCTATGAATAAATAAATAAAATCTTAAAAAAAAATTAACACTATGAAA